CACCTTTGTCGTTCCAGAAAACCAGGCATTGGTGGAGTGATTAAGGTATACATCGAATCCCGTGAATCCAATCTCTTCCTAGTAGCACGTTGTAACTAGTAAGACCATCTATCACAACGAAAACTGTGGTCCTAGTAGTTGTTCCCACAGTTATGTCCAGTGGCATCACCCATTTAGCTAAAGTTGCTCCCCCATTGAAACTTGTTAGAATAACTTCTGTTGGGATCATATCACTTTTTGTATTTGTAAATTTTCTCATCATTCTGGATGGGATGGTATTTATGGCTGCTCCATTGTCGATGAGAACTTTTGTCACAGGTATACCATTGACTAAGGCCTTCACGTACAATGGCCTCAAGTGTTTGGTTAATTTCATAATTGGTCTCTTAAAGATGACCTTTTCAGCCGCATCTATTTCCACTTTCTGTTTATCCTCCGTTGAATTATTTCCTTATAACAAGTCCACATGCAATATTTCACATTGAATTTCTGCTTCTTGGATTTCCTCCTTATTTTCTTCTAATGCTTCTTCTTTGGTTACAACCTGTGGGAGGAGCTAATATTCTTGAAGGTGACCCATATTTCTCAGAGTAAGACACTCTCACCTTTCTCTTGGGCATCCTATATAATACATAGTAGTCAAAAGAACGCCCAGATGGTTCACCTAACAAATCCACCTCGCTGACACCTTTCTGATACAGTTGCTTCAATAAATTATTGCACGACACTCCTCTTCTTTTTCTCTCGCTTCTAAGTCAATTTCCTCTTCAACGTCAGTCATGTCGTCGTCTTCTTCTTCATCATATACCTCCTGAGATGTTTGGACTTTTTCACATTCCAGCACGCGCTTCTTCCTCATTATCTTCCCTTTCCTCCTCTTCATTTTCCTTACTTTTGAACTCATTGGCTAGTAAATAATTATTAGCCATAATGGGAGGTAATGTACCAAATTGAATAGTGAGGGGTCGCTCTAGATCGTCTTCATCTTTCTTCCTACGCTCAAATTTTGATCTCCCAGAAGAACTTTCTGGTAACTCTTCCATTGATTCGCCCATATCCTCTTTATTATCTTTAAGAACATTTTTGTTAGCCACCTCAAGCAATTTAGGTGTCTTAGGACGTGACAATCCTTGCTGTTGCCTCATCATTCGTCCATAATTCTGTTGAAACGCCTTTGTTGGGTTCTGGTCATTTCGTTGAAGGGTACAACCCTTCATGCGTTATACTAGAACGAATGCCATACATTTGGTTAGCGAGGTTGCATCCTGAATGTTCTCCCATTGTCTATCCGTCTAAACTGCCTCTCAAAAGGCGATTTCCAATAGAATGACATACTCCGTCCTCCACCGGGCTGGAAATTTGGGACAACATCAGGATGTTGGTGATATCGCCACGTTCCTGGTCTTTCCATATTTTCATTCAATTCTCCCTTGCATCTAGCACACAAGATGCCTTCGTTTTCTCTAGGCTCATCTCCTTTGATACGTTCAAAAACACTGGGATGTGACTCAGAATCTTCTTCTCCATCATGACTACCACCTTGAATCTTGGCAACTTATTTTTGAAACCAGTGGTCACCATGTTCACCCCAAGTGGCTATGGGAAAGGATTTTCATTCACTGCCATTTTCTTCTTAACTTCAATGTGATTTCCCTAAATCAATGGCATCCTGTAAACATGACGGAAGACCAGGCAATTATTAGTCATATGTGACCATGCATCGTGTCATTCACAATATTTTTTACCCTTAACTTGTTCAGGGTCTGGCAATTTATATTTGTCGCTCAATTTTATCTGTTTATCCTTATACAATTTATCGAATATAAGGTCAGTTTTGGTCACATCAAATGAGAATATCCTAGCCTTTCTGTTTTCATTTTTTACAGGCTCATCCTTACCTGATATTCTAAATTTGGCCATTATAGGACAAGCATATGCATCTCCCTTAATCAATTCAGCCAAACGAAATTTAGGTCTCTATAATAAGTCCCTTTGCTAGATTTTCATTTGTTCTTCTTCTCTTATCAAGCGTTCAAATCTAATCACATTAGCACTCAGCTGAAAAAGGCCAGGAAATTCTGTCTTGGAATTTCTTTTTTGAATCAAAACTCAAACAGTTTTGAACGATTTTGACGAATTCTTTTTCAAGCAAAGGTACAAAACATTTGCTCATAGCTGTTTTAAACCTTTGAAAGAAACATTTTGCCCATTCGTTTTACATTTGGCATAAATTCGACAAGTCGGCCAAAGTAATTCAGATTCAGTTTTGTAAAACTGAGCATGGAATTGTTCTAGTTGTTGCCATGTTTGGACAGAATTTGCTGGCAAATTAATGAACCATGAGAAAGCTACTCCTGTTAACGAACTAGGGAACAATTTCATTTTGTGATAATCAGTTACTTCACCACTTTGCAGTGTGAATCACCCTATATGTTCCTAAGTAGAAACTTCTTCCAAACCGATAAATAATGAAAATTCTGGTACTTTGTACCTTCTAGGCCAATTTTATGCTTGATCTACCTAATCAGGATATATCTTTGGGTAAGTCGGCCTAATAAAAGGACGTATCCCAAAAGTCATTTGATCCTGAACTATCTCCATAATTTGATTCCTCAACATAATGTTGGGATCATATGAACTTCTATAGGTTGATTCATTGGTGGAATTACTTGAGGCCTAATGTTTGGTCCTTGGTTTGTGGCAAAAACGTCGTTATTTAAACCATTATTACCGTTAGCCTGAGTATTTTCACCATCATTGACGCGCGAGGTGATCTATCCATTGGTTTGGACATTGTCTCTTAAATTTACCTATTCAACATCTTGTGTGAGTTCATCAAGCAACGCACACATGGTTCGAGGACTCAATTCTGTCATTGGCTCGTAACGACTTTGACTCTGTCCCTTTATTCGTGAAGCACTTTGCTACTCTTCATATCGTTCGATCACAGACTGGACTCTTGGGCGTCTCGGAGGCTTGAGCGATGATGGACCACCACTACATAACTTCGTCTTAGGTTTTTACATGGTCTCGTTCGGGCCCATCCTTCGAATTTCCTAACTGGACTTCATTCTTTGGACCATTTAATTAGGCCTCATTTTTGTATATCAACAAAAACACTTGAACTAGTGAATAAAATGTGAAAAGCTAACATATTCAATTAAAAATTCACCAATCAACGACTGTCATATATCATTAGAGGAAAGGACTTAATTATCCTATTACATCATTAGAAATCTATAAATAAATTTAGTTGAGAACAAAGAGAGGTATGCAAATTTGAATGCCCTCATTTGAAATAGTCATTTATCTTCTTATTCCTGCTTAAACATAAAATTAGTGAATTTAGGAAGGAAAGATCCTGACCAAATGATAGAAATTTGTTAATCTCATTTTCAAGGTACACACCAATCTCATGGCTTGAGAAGCTTTGACTTGGCAGGATCTTATATAATTTACATGGATGAGGTTCTTTGTAATCAAACATGATTCAGAATACGTGTATTTGTTTGTTGATTTTTGTAGGTTAGTTTGGAGAATTTGCAAAATATTGGTGGCTTAAGTTACAAAATGTGATGTGGCATCTTGTCAATCAATGATTTAAAAAACAATTTTTGAAATCAACATCATAGACTTTGCGACATCATTTTGTAAATCCACTTTTGTCATCCACTTTCGTACAAGTAGATTAATCCCTATTCCAATGGACGTGAGTTGTTTGTGTTATGGTTGTGAATTTTGTCATCCACTTTCGTACAAGTAGATTAATCCCTTTTCCAATGGACTTGAGTTGTTTGTGTTATGTTTGTGAAGGGTAAAATACGAATAAAAATAAAGAATAAGTAAAAAGAAAAAGAGCCCTACCTCTAACGTTATTTTAATTTTCTGAATGAGCAAGTTGCACTGATGATGATTTTTGAGACCAAACTGAAATACATGTGTATTATGTACAACATCCAACAAATACCTGCCTTATGGTTGTGTGATTTTTTTGAGAATGTATAATTAAAAAATAAAGAAAGATTATCGATAATATTATTTTATAAGAAAATGTTTGGTTGAAAATGATTTTTGAAAAGATGAAGTCCAAACATAGGCTTATGAATAAAATAACACTACAATTGGAATTCTCTACTAATACTGTCATTCAATCTTGTTTCGTTTTCGTCCATACTCTATTACAAAATTAGTCTCTCCCCCTCTGCATAGAATAAATCATTGTGAAAACAACAGTCCAAAAAGTCCAAACGGCCTCCTGAAATACAATAAATAAATGAAAGAAAAAGAATATTGAAAACTCTGCAACAAGAATAATGTTACTTGTATATAATTGAATTTCATAATGATTTACACAGACGAGGTGTCGAAAAAAGAGGGGGTTAAATTTTTTTATTTGGTTGAACAAATCTGACAATCATATTTTACAACATCATGTGTACGTAAACCATTATGTAAATCATCATGTACATGCCCCCAAAAGAAAAAGTAAAGAAGGAAAAGAAAAAACAGTACATCATCTTCCTTCTAATAAAAACAAAGAGAATAATTCTAAAATACGTGCAACCCGACTATTTTAATCAAGAGTTCAATTATGTGCATAATGAACATGCAAAGTGTAAATGAGTCATGGAGGAAGGACACGAGGTACAGTGAAAATAAAGAGGAAAATTATACAGTTGTAATTGAAGAAAAACAGATTTTAATCTCCTAAAACTATGGACTAGGCGTTAATGAGAGTTGACACAACATTGTACACAAAACATGTTAGAGACAATATCTAGCAGGACAAATTGCCAAAACTATAAGAAATTGGTCGAGAATAATTCTTCAGAAGTTACCTCAAGAACTGCCATATCTTATGTTAACGATCAACCAATAGATGGGCAAGATCAATGAATCAGCAAGCAGAAAATAACATGATGCACACGATCTTCTCTACCAGGAAATGAGAGAAGAAAAGCATCCATCTACTATAACATTGACAGATTAAGTCCAAAGCCTTAATTGACTGCAGAAGCAGCAGATGCTGCAGAGGCCTCAGATATTAAGGAGACAGGTTGACGAGCCTGCAAGCAAGCACCTATATCGAAAGGGCGCAACTCAGATCCATCAAAAAGAAGATTTACACCAGGAAGAATTACTTCTGTACTTTCAGTATCCTCTGATTCAACTTTTGAAGTACCTACGGAAGTGGAATTTTCAACGGATCGAGTGGCATCCTCAGAAACAGGAGCCAGAGCATATGATCTGAAACCATCGAAAAACCCATGGTGGATTTAAAAATTAGCTAGCAAGTATTTCATATCTATACTAAGGATGTCACAACATTAAATTTTTGGAGGCTAAACACTGTATCATAGGATGTTCCATGTTGAATCTATGTGTATACCAAGCAATGATATTTTTAATTTCAGTGACAGATTTCCAGGATATTTTAGGATTTTAAAAATGTTAATAACAACTTCATGATCTTCCATCATTTGCTTACAGAAATTGCAGTAATACATTTGTAAAAATAAATACGAGTATACAAATCCATCAGAAGCATTGATGGTGGTTGAAGATAATACTAACATTCCGAAAAGCAAAATTCAAGATCGTTCATGCAGTAAGGGCAGATAAATAAAAATTTCTAGACTTTTAACATCCCTAATCCTCAAATGGTATTTTTGTAAGCAACTAAGGTATGGTATAGAACTCCTCTGCGAGGACCATCACTCATAACATCCCATTTCCAATTTTGTAAATGATGAAAGAGTATTGAGCATGCATATACACAACAAACTGAGCTATTCCCTACAAATTTGAGATCGTCTCTGTGAGTCACTTTGTGTCACTTAGTTCAATCAATTACCACATCTATGGGGAGATTCAGATGCAGGACCAATGCAATTCAAGCCAATAAGAAGAAAAGAACAGAAGAAGCAAGAAGAAGAAGCTAAAGAAGAAGAAGAAGCCGTGAAGAAAAGGGGAGGAAGAAGAAGAAGCAGGGAAAAGGAGAAAATTTGGCAACGGCCAATCTCAATTTTAGTCAATCATCGTCTACTAAATTGTAATGTAAAAACTGTTTAAATAGTGAAAACCTAGTTGGGTTTGGGCCAACCCACTATTACAAACCCAATAATAATAAAAACATAAATAATAAAGTCCAATAACAATAACATAAATAATAAAGCTCAATGACAATAAAAATAAATCTCGATGTCTCGATGATGTCCGCATCAGATTCAATACAATCAAATACTTCGCCACCCATCACTTCATGCTATTTTTAGTGTAGCTCTCCCTCTAGGAACCTGTTCTACAAGATCATACGACTCTTGTATACACAAGTCTCTTTAAGTCTAACAAGAAACACCCAACAACATAAGTTGCCATTCTTTTAGTTCATTTGCAAGTTGTCTCACCCTCACTTAAAAGAGGGATCAAAAAGTTTTTGAAAACGTTCTCTAAGACTTAGTGCAATGGAGAACCATTGTGTTTTACTAGCCTTTTAACCTTATAAGTATCTTCTTACACAGAATCCAATGACACTTTTGCTTTTCATTGAACATGCCCTAATCTATGCTAATACCTTCTTCAATACCTCGTACCATTTTAATTATTAAACCTAAATACCTGCTATGACTAAAAGGGCATTCCAAGTATTCCATTTTACTTCTACTTAATCCAAACCTTTGGATACAAAAGTACTTTAAAGTTATTAACTTCAATTCATCCCCTCATAGCCCTGTCATCTAAAACTAAGTTGTCAACAAATAACATACAACCAAGGATTTTACGTTGGATGTGCCTCGTGAGTTCATCCATGGCTAACACGAAAATAAGGACTCAAGTCAGAACCTTGATACAAGCCCGTAGCGCTAAGAAAAGATTTTCTCACTGGTATGCATTGGAATTGGTTACATATTGCTAAATCTACTAGAAACTTGTTTTCGGTTCTGCACCCACCAGATCTCTTGTGAGCACAACATCACTACCATTGCTTCTTCAAAACCATATACAAATCTTGTCTCTTTTCTCTACATTTTTCGCCTATCACTTATCTAGGTAAAGAGCTTCCATGGTAGATCTCTCTCGTATACAACCAAACAAGTTCTCTACACCTTAATCTATACTCAGTCACCCTCTTCCATAATTCATAGTATAATTGAACATAATACGTCTGTATTTTGTTCATGCAGACAACCACTCTACCACACTGCCTCCATATCTTACTGATGGAATATTAGAAGAGATACTATATAATCTAGTTTCCAATTTTGATGCGTATTTTAGGAAACATAATTGGGCTTGATTTAATAGCTTTATTATATATTTCCTACTTAAAAAAGGGTCTTATGCTTTGTAATAAACACAATTTTTGATAATAAAATAAATTGATATTCTCCTCCAATTTCTCTCTATTCTCTCCCTCTTCTTCTCTCTCTTCCCCCTCCTTCCTCTTCTTTTCTACCCTTTCCCTTTCCACTTCTCCTATAATTGTTCCATAGCATCCTACGTTACTTACTTTTTAAAATCTCATCGAATAATTGTCAAAACATAAACTACCCAATTCACCTAAACACTTCCATTTTCCAACAAAATCCATGCATAAATACGTTCCTCCATAAATCTCAATTACTACCAATAACAGTTTTATCTCTCTTCTTTGACGAGTGGTTATGTGCATTATTTCCATCAAAAACAGAGCCCCAGCTGTACGCTTTTGCATCTATGTGTTTTCCGTTTTGATATTATAGAAGTTTTTTATGTCAGCCAGGCAAAATGCCATCTGTCTGTGACAATGCGACCAGAATGTTTGGCGCCTTATGAGAACCAAAATAAAGATTAGTTTGGAACAATATGGTCTGTTGCAATTTCAAGTACCTTAGCTTTAGTTTAATTTTCAGATTTCTTGGCCCGCCTTTTGTAATGGCAAATTAGTGCAATTTCCAAAATGTTATAAAACTAGACAAATTACAATGATTTATAATGAATAAAGGCATAATACAGAGCATGAGATGAATTAAGACACACCTGAGTATATTACCATCAAAGCTCAGAACTTCAGTGTTGCAACGCTGTCGATTAGCAAGTTTCAGTCTCTGGTGCTCACTTAAGGCTCCAGATATAGGAGAAGAAGGATCCATAAGTGGGTTCCATCTTCCACTTGCATAAGTCATCAGTTGTCGAGATGAATCCTTTGGCTGCTCTTTCTGGTAAAGAAGTCTCGCAGTTGGACCAGTTGTTTGGTACTCTGCGCAAACATCGTGCAACCTTTTCCTCAAGTCTTGCATTGCATCATGATGCTCGGTCAGTAATTCTGTTTGAAGTAACTGAGAAGAAACCACTCTTCTACATATATCTTTACATAATTCGGGACTAAAAAGAGGAATACCAAATTGCACGCTAAACGGAACCCACTCATATTTCTCACCATCAACTGAAAAGTTTTCTGATTCTTGTTCTTTAAAAAGTCTTAATAAGCTAATATATCCGATGCTCCACAAATTTATTCTGTTTGAAATATTACTTAAAAGCGAATCTAACTTCGAGGTTTCCTCGCCACATAACCCCAGTTCCTCTCCTACGTTTGCTATTGAACCATCAGAGTTCTTCAAAGGTAATGGAATATCTAAAGTAACAAGTTTTCCATTATCATCGAGGTCATACCTGCTAAAAGGTTGCACCAGCACAGCAGAGTATTTGACAAGTGAATTCAAACAATGTAAGAGTATGCTTCCTTTAACTAAATTCCCTTCAAATTTTCCTCCCAAACCCCCAACCGTAGATCCATCCCAAGACCACACAAGGGCTTTCTCGCAACCAGCTAATGGTGCAGGAAGCAATCTCAAACATTGACCTTTCATCAAAACTACAGAAAGAGGTCCACAGCCTACAGCAGAATACAGGACCATTTTCATCCAGGGAGTCATAGAAGAATGAGAAGGAGGACCAAAATGAATGGGGCCTTTGGGTCCAGGCAAAACAGAAGAATGAGGAAGTGGAACCATGGACGTGATAATGTCATAGTCACGGAGAAATAGACGATCTAAAGTTGCTGGTGGAAGAGCAGCCAAGCTTTCACAACGCAGAATATCCACTCGGTATTTTCTCTTTTTCTTTGCCATCTCTTTTCCAGCATTTAAACCTTCAACAGAATATGAGTTTTCATCATTTGGTACACAAAGATCTGATTTGGAATCCTCCGTGTAATTTATCTCCTTGAGTACAGTAGCAGATAACTTTTCATCACCAGTACTTCCAGTTGACAGTTCAGCAGAATCAGAATCTTCCTGGGTCATCCTTGAATCCATAGAGTCCTCAATATTTGACCGAGATTCGTTTGTGCCAGTACCTCCATATCTATTGACCAAAGAAACATCAGATATCAAAGAACTAGCCTCCTCATCAGTAACAACACCACCTGATGTTAGACATTCCAGGACACACCGGAGACTGAATGCATGATTAGCAAATTCCTGTAATTCTCCTTCAAATCTGGTTCCCTCTAGTGTACTTAGATCCTTGCAAAGATCTGCAATGCTAGCATTACCAAGTTTTCCTGCTTCGTACAACGTGACAGCATGAGATTTAAGACCTGCAAGAGATATTTTTAATAAAAAGGTGAATTCAGCAACAGCATAATCTCACAACCAAAAAACAGAAAAATAAAATAAAAAGGGAACAAAGGATAAACCTGGTGAAACAGATCCCATCATAAGATAAGATGTTATATTAGCATCAACAACAAAAGCAACACGAGAATAATCAACAGCTGGACTATAGTTTTCTGTCCATAAAATGTCTCCTTGTTGAACAGTGCCACCATCAGTGGACAGATTGGCGGAGCCCATACTAGGAAGGGAACCTCCTACTTCATCACTGAGAAGACTTTTAGGACTGCCAGGCATATTTGATTCTTGAAGAATAGATGCAGGGTCTATTAATTTTACTGCCCATCCCAACCGACAAGCAAAGGATGCAGCTGCCTGCAGCTGAGAGAGATCAGCCTGTAATGTTGTTGCCAGTTCAGTAACAGTGGAATTCTCACTTGATACCACAAATACAGCATAAAGCAACCTGGATAATGGGATTGATAACATCACAATTTAACTTTGCTTCTTTACAGATGAAATTGAAAATATGCAGACAGGGTAACTAAAGTGCCTTACTCTTCAATGGGATCTTCATATAACTGCTCCCTGTTTGAAACAAATCCTTCAAGCCTGGAAACTGAAATAATGTGTATATTAAAATTCTAAGTCAGAGACATGTGGACTGAAGTCAGATGGAGGTTGACAATTACTGGATTTATGGTCATAACTCAATCAAGTCCAATATCTGTACAGCATAACTTTAAAAATATAAATATAATTAAAGCTAGAGAGAGAGAGAGAGAGTATCCAGGTCACTCTTGTTATATCAAATTGATTGAATGTTTTAAAGACAGATACATGTGAACAGTTTAAACTGCTGCCATTAAAGATACTAACATCTTGCATGTGTAGATGAATGTTGAGTTGAAACTTTTTCACAGTAAATTAACTAAAAATGGGAAATCCTGGATATATGTATAAACATATCCTTTTCTATAGGAACAAAACATGGAATTGGGTAGGACGTAAACTGAAAACTTTCTTCAAGTCTCGCGCCACCCATTAATTTTGCACATGTTAGAATTTGAGAAAATAAATAAATAAATAAAAATGAACTGCCTACACATAAGGTGGCGTGTTGAAGAAAAAAGTTAAATGATATACATGTAGCCCCTCTAGTAGATTAAGCTTTTAGGTCAAGTGGTTCAATAGATTGATCTATAAGATTTGATGCAAAATAAAGTTCAAACAATCACAAATGTCTGTTCTCAACCCGGAAAATGATTAAGAAATGGGAGATTAAGAAATGGGAAAAGGCAGAAAGTTAAAACTGATACTAACAAAATATGATAAAAACTTTAACACAGCATTCAGGATACCTCCCTGTTATCAAGTGAAACTCATTGTTTTTAATTCCAAAATTTTCCTTTTGTTTGAGAGGGAGGGGGTGCTTTTTGTAACTTGACATTATATTTGAAGGAAAATGGTAAATCAGAAGAGAACTAAGGGGAGGAATAACCCACAGACTATCTTAATAGAACCAATACAAGTACCTGTAAATTACCTTTAAAATGATCATCAGGATAGACTGGAACATCAAAGTAGACAAGCCCCCGTCGAAAAAGTCCCTTGACAATTTCAGGATCAAAAAGGATGAATGAATTTGCTTCCTCCTTGCAGATTTTATCAATGGTTGCCATTTCTTCTTCTGAGAGTTTCTTGAAAACAGGGAAGAGGAGGGGGGATCAGAAGAGTACAGTTTATCTCAGTCACACACAACTTAATTTGGGCGCTATCCCAAATGTTTTTGCATAAAGAACTTAAAGTAAAGAACCTTCAAACATCATATTTGAGGGACTCACACAATATAAACTGTAGAGAAACCAAAAATGATCTACTCAAGTTTGGAAGGCAGTTGTTCGGAAAGCTCCTCACCTTAAATTCTTCCAAAGTGAAGTTGACTAGACAAGCTCCCCACCACGGCTCAATTGCGAAGTCCACAGGTTCAGTAGGTAAGAGTTCTCTTGCTATTGACTTGTTCAGCTTCCACATAATTTTCTGGAAGACTCCAGAAAATTGTAAAATTCGGTTAGACCGGTAAGAAAAAATAATTTGGTCCATTTCTCACCATAATACATGATTGTAAATTGAACTGCAGATATGCTTCTGCAAGTGGCCATTCCGTCAAATTAAAAAGTTTTTAGGTTCACCACCATTGGACCTCCAACAGCGAGGTTCAAAAAAAAATTATACTGTGAAGTGTTCTTCGACATTACCTTAGATCTACACTTGTTCATTATGTCAATAAATTCATTTCTTCCTATCCCTGTGAGCCGCAAGGCATCAGCAGCACTAAAATTAGGGATGCTGTCATAAGGTTGCTCTGCATATAAAAGGAGCAAAAGAGAACGATAAATTTCATCACATTTGAAATCAACTATGATAAATGTCATCACATTTGAAATCAAGTTTTTATGCGAATAATGCCTCCAGAGTACTGTAATACTATAATCAGAAACCGATGCATAGCTTATTCATACAATTGTTAAGTAAAGATCATCAAATGACCAATGGGGCTAGAAAGCAACAATGCAACGAGGAACATAATTTTAAGGAACTAAAAAACAATTTAAAAAAAAATCTAAACAAGTGCATGGAAATAATAGTTGCCAGCTTGTATGGAGACTACTTAATGTTAGATATTTATACAATAAATATAATATGTGAAAGAAATAATTAATTCACATGAAGTGCCCAATTAGTGAAAAGTGTGAAATTTGTGTGGGAGGTCGGGGGTTCGAGTCACACCTCACGCATTATATTAAAGGATCTTTGATTGGGGCATTGGGCTTAATTGATTCTAAT